GGACAGAAAGAAGAGTGATAGTGTAACCGTTTTCGGCAGAACGTTTGTCGAGGGATTGACTTCACTTGTCGCTTTGACGAGTTCGTAGCTTAGTGCGGAGAATGGCAAAACTCACTAATGATGCCGACTACGATGTCGGCGAAACGTTTGAGAACGTACCAAGTCCACTGTCTGATGCTGGGAATTATCACAATTACTATGGCAGACGACTTCGGACTAGGTTCGTTTTACTGATTCGCCCTGAGAACAAGGCCAAGTTGCGACAACGAGGTCAAACAACTTTTAAAATGCTACAAATATTTTCATAAATAGTGACTATATGTGTTAATCTTATTTTTATTGTGTATAATAGTAATGAATCTGCGTCTTATTCAAATGCACATCTAGGAGACTTTGAAGTTATTATTAAGGAAAGATTATACGAAGTTATATATCTGAAATAATCTATATAGATTCATTGTTATGTATTGCCTTTAGACTTACTAACCTGGTCTGATTCAAAATGTTTATACAAAAATTTCACATGTTATAAATATTAGATAAGGGCTAAGTCCATGTATTACACAAAAGTCTATTTATTTTCAATAGATAAAACAATAAAGGATGTTGAAAATTTAACTAATTTAAGAAGCACTATTTATAAATATACTAAAAATGTCTCATATGGCAAAATAGGACAGCGTTTTTAAAAATCGCCTTAATGAGGGTAGAGGCTATTCAAGATTTATATAGTACAAAAATATCAGGCGTTCTCACCAACATCAGGGTGCAAAGCATCCATATGGCTAGCAAAATCTCCTCTATTTGTCCATGATTGACTGGAAGATTCGTGATCGGTAAATGACTCCGAAACGGAGCCACTAACCATTGGCTGAGTAGCGAAACCTCCGACACGATGCCAGAAAAGGACTTCAGGTTCGTAAGAGATTATATGTTGTTTAATCAGCGACTTCTTATAGCAGAGGTAAAGGTTATGCCCAAACTAAGGCATAAATGGAGATAATATGAGGATGCATGAGTAGATGGTGGGATTTGAGACAAAATAAAATATAAGATAAAAAATAAGTTAAGGAAAGAGAGGTGAAGTGAGAGGGAGAAAAAATTAAAACTATAATGCTAGTTTATTTCGGTTGCGCAACTTGGTCGGAGGAACAGGGAGACCTTGTGAAATGAACTAATGCTGCGTCCTCTGCCATAGTATTCATGATTTACAGCATCGGAACAATTATGTAGAAAAACTGGGTTTCGAAGAATACCTTAATAAATTCATGTTGGAGTAGCTTTCATTTCGTTTGAAGAGGCGAGTTGAAGGAATTCGTAAGTTGGTTCCACCAGAGACTGT